AAAAATGATTTCATTAATTAAAACTTTGGCATCTTTTGGTATTACCGGTTGGCTCGAGTTTCTAGCTGTCACAATTCTCTTTTATATTCTAATATTTTATTATAATTATTTTACGCGCGAAAATCCCCTTCCGGGTCCAATTCCTTTACCCGTTGTTGGTAGTCTCTACCAAAATCCGGGACACATGGCAAAATGGATTCAAGAGTTACAGAAAAAACATGGTGACATGTTTGAAATTTGGGTCGGCTCACAGCGGCAAATCTGGTTAAACAACGCAGGTCTTATTGCCAAAGCCACTCTGTCATCATCAAAGACCGCCTTTGTTATTCGTTACTCGCATGATTCGGGAGTGGAGGAATGGGGTGACACTACTGGAATATCGTTTAATCGGGTTCCATGGAGTTGGCGATATAACAGAAAATTACTTAGCGATGCTGTGAATTCGCCGAGCTTTCTTAAAGAATTCACTAGAATGATGCAAAAATATTTTGGAGAATTGGAGACCTATTGGCAAGAAATAGGATTAGATAAGCCACAAGATATTCAAATCTGGGTGAACCGATTTATTTCCGATAAGCTTTATCTTACCACAACAGGAAAGAATCTTAATTTTATGGCGAAACACTTTAATAGTCTTTCGACAAACAGGAAAGTTGATATTTCTACAAGTGATTCAGAAACGATTGCGAAATTTGTAACCGCAATAAATTTAGCATCTGAATCGATCTACTTTTACACCACCGTCCCTAATATTCTCAAAAGAACAATCTATCGTAATCTATCTAAGAAATACCATACAGCTCATGACACAATAAAAAGGGTACTCAGCGAAATCATTCAGGAACAAAGAAAGATCATAGATGATACTCCAATTGACACTCCAATTAAGGCCGATGTTTTGAATGCGCTAATTATCGCCAACACGGAACGAGATACTTCTCGTAAGAAGGATGATGAATTTTCAAGACCTGCAACAGATGAAGAAATTCAAGCGGCTCTTTTCGAAACTATTATAGCATCTGTCTCGACGGTTAATTCATTTATTTTATTGTCGTTTGTTATTATTTAAAAACCTAATGGATTTAAATGATAAAATTTCTTTAAAGACGTCAAATGCATTCGCATTTTTCATTCAACACGTTGGCCGTGACAAAGAAGTCGCGAAAAAGATTCAAGAAGAAATCGACAAAGTATTTTCTGGTGATCCAAATATTGAATTTTCTTACAAAAATTTTAAACAACTTGAATATATCGAAGCAGCTCTCAACGAAAGTAAGAAGGTCTCAATTGACTGTTTTAATTTCACCATTATTATATATTTAATTCGCCCGTCTTTTTAGCGATGCGTCTTCACTCTGGTGCTCCAATTATGTTTCGAACGAATAATAAACGGACTGAAGTTGGAGGTTTTTCTTGGAAAACAGATACACAGTTTGGCGTAAATTTTCAAGCCGTGCATTATAGTTCGGACCTTTGGAATGATGCTGATAAATTTATTCCAGAACGACATCTTATCTCTGATAAAGGTTTGAAAAGAAAGTTCTATCCATTTGGAGGTGGATTACATATTTGCCCTGGTCGCATTCTCGGCATGGCCCTCTTAAAAACGCTAGTGGTACTATTCTTCCGGAAATATAACGTGGAATTGGTGAATCCTAATGTACCAATTCGCACTAGCCATGACTTTACTCTTCATTGTCATGATGCAATAGTGCGTCTTAGCCCCCAAACTAAGATAATGTAGTACATATACGTAACTTTAACCAATCGTTTAATACACAATTTTCTGTATTTTCTTCAGTCCAATTGAA